CTTTCTTTCTTTCTTTCTTTCTTTCTTTCTTTCTTTCTTTCTTTCTTGATCATCTATCATTATCTGTTCATCCATCACCTATCAGCACTGTTCATCTCATTGTCTAAACTCTTTGCAACCCTCAATGGAAGCTGGCCACTAACTCCTGTTTGGTCCAGGGAGGAGCCTGGTTGAATGGCAACTTGAGACAATGGATTCCTTAGACACAAAGCCACCTAAGAAAGAAGGAAGGTCAAAATGTCCAGGCCCTTCATTCAAGCCATGCCTGGGGCTGCTGGCTCAGAAAAAAAGGATATTTTTGTGGCAGAGAAAGCAGCAGGAAGAAGAAGGAACGGACAATCTTGTAGTTGTCTGGAAGGGCTTTGGTTTGGCATAGGGCTGGGCTGCCTGTTACTAACTTGAAAGTGGAGTGTCAGGATTAGGGGAAGTTATGTTCCACCAGGAGGGGCTTGTCCACAAAAGCCAGGATTTGTATCCTTAGCTGCTGACAAGAAGAGCCAAAGGGAACGAGATGGCGGGGTGGCTGAGATCGATTTCCTTCCTCCTAGAATATTAATCTGAACCAAACTGGGCTGAGCAATTAAAATGCTGAACGTACTTCTCTTCATCTGCAGTCGGTTCAGTTACAGAAGGTACTGAGGAAACTTTCAACCAACTGATGAATTAATTGGAGAATGGAACAGGTCTCTTCTTGAAAGCTTCCAGGGATGAAGCTCCCACAACTTCCAAAGGCAACTTCTGTTCCGTGGGTTGTTGGTTCTCACTGTCAGAAAGTTTCTCCTTATTTCCAGGTTGAATCTCTCCTTGTTCAGTTTCCATCCATGATTCCTTGTCTGGCCTTCAGGTGCCTTGGAGAATCGCTTGACCCCCTTCCTCCTCTCTGTGGGAGCCCCTCAAATATTGGAAGACGTCTCTCCTGTCTCCCCTGGTCCTTCTCTTCCCTAGAGGAAAGCAAGTTCTCAAACCATTTATCCATGCAAGGAACTGAAAGTTACTTAGCGCCCTGAGATCCTGATTTTGCCGCTTCTGGCAATAAAAGCCTCTCTCTCTGATAGTAGCAGCAACAGCTGCAGAGAGTTTGAGTGAAGGAAGGGAACAGATGGAGGGGAGACACCATCTTTGGGGGGAAGGAGCAAAAAAAGAGGAAAAA